TATGTTGTCTGATTCAAATTGGCCAAACACAGTCCATTTCAGCTCACTAACACCTAGGATATCAATCTTTATGCATTCCATTTCATTTTTTTCCTAGATTCATACTTCGTACGTTCCATGTTCCTGTTACTAATGGATGTGTGCATCTATTTCTGCTCATTTTGAGTTGTGCCACATCAGCTAATGGAGGTCCCAAAAGCTTTTCTCTATCCATATTATTAAGGTCTTCTCTACTCTGACAAGTCAGCTCTTCTCCAGTCAAATGTTGAATGTCTTCTAACCTGACAGGCTCATCTTCCGGCACTGTGTTGGACAGTGTTTCAGGGCTGTTCATAATGTTTTCCAGTAATATATCAGACCGTTTCACTGTTATTAATAAGGTTTTCGCTGACCAGTTGTTTAAGAAGTGTAAGGCCTCTTCCTTCTTCTGAGTCTGTCTAAGCCCAAAAACTCCACTGAAACCTCTCCACCATGGGTAATGCTTTAGGCATTTTGCAACATGGTGGCATAGCCTCCAGCCTCACAGCAATACGTGAGCTACCATAGGATTACAAACTGACAGACAAGCTTGTCTCCCTTATTTGTTCCTAACCCCTTTGCACCTGCCTACCTCAGGCCCTGGCCTTAATATAGACCCACCTGCAAACGAAAATCAGCCCCCAGCCCCGCCTGCCTACATCTGGCCTCTACCTTAATAGTGAAGCTACACCCAGGTGAAAAGCAGCTTCCAAGTTACCGGCCCTACCTCAGGCCCCTGCCTTAATGGAGAGCCACACCCAAGCGAAAAGCAGACATCTGAAGGTAGGAAAATACTCCATTTTCATAACCTTATGTTCTGTACACTTTAAAGAATCTTTTAGAAAAGTAAAGTTAGATTAATTTTTATCTTTTTGAGTCTTCATTGTACCAATCAAATAATCCATCTTTTTTTCATGTGCTTTTCAAAATGGACTGATTTATATCAAAGTTTCTCATGGTAGCTACTGAAAGCCCAAGTCATAAGACACAGGAGATTTTTCTCAAAGCTGAGGCTTAGAGCAACCCTATGACAGCACATGGGGAAAAAAAAAAAAAAAAAACTGAACAAATGCTATCTCTAGTACAAAACTGAAGTCCTCAAGACAAAAATCTCACATGTTTTTAGGTGACCCACTGCAAAATTCAAGTTGATGCCATTTTTGGTGAAAAGCACACATTTCCTAGTCTGTGGAGCCGATGTAACAACAGCTTATAGAGTCAATGCTTCTGTTCTCCCTTATGATTTTCCATTTTATGACTATCAACAACAGTATAAAACTCTTTAAACAGCACAACACAAGGCAAGACACACACAACAAATGTAGCTATGCAATTTCAAGCTACAGTTACTTGAGGCCTCCCTTGGACCCTGTCCAAGATTCCTTGCACCCAGACCAGGGCAAGTATTCAAATAAAATTACTGAGGCCTTCCTCAGATCAAAGCCAGCACCTTCTATTGAGTTCAGTTTGTTGTCCCTTGAATCCAATCCAAGGAAAATATTCAGATAATACGAATGGGAAAACTCCCAATGAAACTTGAGCACCCAACAGAAATTCTCCAAATGGAATGAAGAGGACAAGACAAATAGGAACCCAGTTCCTAAACAGCATGAAAAGGCAACTTGACAAGGAGAAGATGTCCATAACTGCTCAGATATAAACATAATTCAACACAAAAGAAGTAGAATTTGAACTCAGGAGATTTGTACCAAGTTCCCCAGCTGTGGTGATGGAATAAACAATTGGACACAAGGCGCTTATGTTTGGTTGTTGTTATTTGCCATCAAGTTGGACCCCACTCACAGTGACCCCTCCTTGGGTTTCCAAGGTGGTATCACTATAGAAGTAGATTGCCCAACCTTCCTTCTGAGGAGTGGCTGGTGGATTTGAACTGCCAGCCTTCTGGTTAGCAGTCAAGTGCCTTAGGCACTACACTACCAGAGTACCATTTTTTATTTGATCTCTTACCACAAAATGGGGTGCTCAGCTTGACAGTTTTTTCTGGTTCCAAACTTAAAAATAATCAAAACAGTGAAATTTCAATGAAAGGTTTATTTTGAACCGTTATCCTGTGTGCATGTACCTGTTGTTGTCAAGTCGATTCCAACTCAGAGAAATCCTGTAGGAACAGAAAATTTCCTCATAGGGTTTCCAAGCCTGTAATCTTTACGGAAACTGACAGACATGTTTCTTTCTTCAAAGCAGCTGGTGAGTTTAAACTACCAACCTTTCAGTTAGCAGATGAGTGCTTTAACCACTGTGCCACTAGGGCTCCTTATGCATAGACCATTTTTACTCTAGAAAAAAACAAATAGCTCAGTGAGACTAGGTACAGTGGCGCTTTTGAAGAAAGGAGGAGGGAGAAATGTAGAAGATCAAACATTGGCTAATCTTAACATGATTGACTGAACCCTGCCTTCCTCCCCCTTTACGGAGATCTGTGGATATCTGGTCATGAGATGGTCTCTGACCCTCCACTCAGCCATATCTTTTGAAATTTATATTTAGTACACCTGGCTTCAAACAGGAGGGTATTGGCAACTTTGGGTAAAAAAAAAAAAATTGATTTTGGTCAGGAATTTCTTAAAAGTGAACATTTGGTTTCATGAGTTAAGAAACGCTCACAATCAAAGTAACATAACTACTGTCAGTCTCTCTTTGATGTTATTCACCATGTTGTGCAACCATCACCACTATTTGCAAAAGTTTTTATCACTTTAAATAGAAATTTAGTATTCCTTGAGCAATAACTCATTTTCCTTTCTCCCCAATACCTGGTAGCTACTACAACTACTCCTCATCAACATAATTAGGTTCCAAAGACCAGGTCGTTATGCAGAAATGATGTTATGCCAAAATACAGGATGACCACATCATTAGATAACTGTCAAAGCACCGAGAATCATGGCCCAGCAAAATTGGGCCATAACCTTAGCCATCACATCCAGTGTTACTCTTGCCTAGCACCTTGGTGTTTATTACTGCCAGGCATACATCATTAACATACAAAATAGATAGATTTTTTTACTGTTGTAAATGCAAAATGCTAGATGACTACTAGGTAGTTGATAAGTGAGGAATAGGTGTACATTTTTATTTTTTATTTTAGTCAGTGTACCACCTTTAATAGTAAGAACTAAAAGAAAAAATTAAAAATATACAGGAAAAATATAATCCCACTTTATATGAAATATCAAGAATGGGCAAATGCAAAGAGATAAAAATTTATTACACCAACTCCTCACTTACTGACTATCTCATTATCCAACATTTCACATTTACAATAATAAAACATCTATCCTACTGTTTTGCGCACTAAAGGTGTACCTCTGGCAGTAAGGAATGCTGAGATGCTAGGCAAGAGTAGTGCTGGCTATGTTGGTTAAGGTTATGTGTCAAGTTGGCTGGACTTTGATTCTTGGTGGTCTGACAGTCATGTAATGATATAGCCATCCTCTATTTTCTCATAACACTGATTTTCATTTAATGACCTAGTCTTTGCAAACTAACCATATGGATAAGTGAGGAGCGGATATGTTATGCAAAATTCACAAAACAAAACTGTAAAACAAATATAAATAATTAAACCTTCAAATGATGTTTTTGTCCATTTGTAGCATGTGTGTTTCTAAAGTTCTTAAAGCTGACGACTCCATTAAGACTTTTGGGACACCCTGTGTTTCCTCAAATGTATAAAGGAAACTAGTTACTAATATAATTATAAGTTCCTTTTAATTTAAGCATTTCTTTAATCATAAACCAAAAAAAAAAAAAAAAAGCCAAACTCCCTGCCGTTGAGTCAGATTCGACTCACAGCAATCCCTCCTTGGGTTTCTGAGGTGGTATCACTATGGAAGTAGATGGCCCAACCTCCCAGGAGTGGCTGGTGAGTTTGAAACACCAGCCTTCTGGTTAGCAGTCAAGTGCCTTAGGCACAATTCCACCAGAACATTGTTTTTGCCCACAGATGCCTTGTGACCTTAATGTCAATACAGCTTTGCTTTCCTGTTACTAGATTGAAACCAAAAACTGGAATTTAAATTTTTTTAGAATAAACTCAGGGTTTTGAAAACCTTATTTATTTCAGTAGGTAGCACATTCAAGTGGGACAGATTTCAAAAGCTATATGGGGGTGTGCTGTGAAAACTCCCCCACCCACTCCAGTCCCCCGAAGCACATCACCAGTTTCTTAGGGATTCTTCAAGAGCTATTTTATATATACATAAGCAGATGCATCTATATCCCTCCCCCATACTCTCCATACACAGGAAAATGATACTTGCTTTGCTTTGGTCACTTAAAAATATCTGCAGTCTCTATGTATAAACAATGTGCCTGTTTTCCTGGCTACAGGTATCACAGTGTATTAGTTCACACTTAGCTTATGGAACAGTCCCCTCCTGAGGGACACTTACATGACATCCAGTTTTTTACTGTTAATGGCACCAAAAAAATGCTATAGTATATTACCTTGTATGTATATCATAGCACACCATGCAAGGCATTTCTTCAGTAATTCTTTGCTGGGTAAAAGGAATGTGTGTTTTCCCCCTTGGACAGGTGTTGCCAAATTGCCACTGTGATACTGTGCCTGCCAGTAACACCAGTGACACCATTCCAAAGCTGTCTCCCACTCCTGTAGCAGTGTAGTGCCTCATCCCACTTGGACCTTGAGCAGAGGGACAGGTGAAGAATGGTTCCTCAATGTAGTATCCATGTGGTTTATCTGTCCTAACTAACTATCTTCCAGTGGTCACAAACATGTCTCCTTGTTTACTTGATCCCTGGGTAAAAATATCTATCCTACTATTTTACACACTGATGGTGTACCTCCAGTACCATTTGAATCACTCTTTCCTGCCTAGTTGGAAAATAAGAAAAAAGTCGTATTTATAAAGTAAAAGCCAAATGGATGAGAGAGCACACAAGTAAGCTGTGTGCTGTGACTCTCACAGGACTCCTTGTCTTTGCAATGTTCACAGAGCACACAAGGGATTCAGGAATTGCTGGATGTGGCTAAACAAGAAATTCCTTTTGACTTCTGGAAGGTCACGCCTCTGGTCCTCAAGGCAACAGCTGGGTTACGCCTGTTACCAGGAGAAAAGGCTCAGAAGTTACTGCAAAAGGTGATGTTACCTATTTTTCCCTTGGAGGGTGGTCAATGATAACTGAAAGCACATTGAACTTGCAGCTGGTCTCTATGTTGTCAGCCAGGCTACATGGGAGCTTCCTAAAGAGGGAAACATTATAGTGTGACAGCCTCATCTACCTGAGGAATGTGGGTGAACAATACTGTCTTCCTCATGAAACTTAAGGCTATTTGGGGTTTATGAAAGAATCTGTGTTTAATACTAAGAAAAACATCTTTATTTTAATGTACACTGTGCTTTTTGAAGGTCTTCCTTCTGTTCAGGCACTTAATACATGTCAAGGAGTTGTTTGATCTGTATTCCTACTTATTGTCTTGGTGGAAACTACTGGTCCTGCCCTAGGCCTCAGAACTATTGAAGAAGCCCTTGAGCCTTCTGCTCTGCTTGCCTTGATTCTCATGCCTGGGCCATCTGTGAGAGACCTTCCCTGCTCTGGCCCATCCCAAAACTTCTGGGACTGGACTCCTCCTGGGGCTGGGTTTAGGAATCTGTGATTAGCATGTACTTGGATGATTAGTGAGTTAGGGAAATTCTGCATCTGCCGAATGATCCTCTTCATCTTCTATATTGTTCCTGTACTACTTACCTCCTGAGTAAGGCACACCTATGCTAAATTAGTCCTTCAAATCGTTACCTTCCGATGCCTGAGTTAGATGTGGGCTGGGATTGCAATGGGGATGTGCAAGTGTGCTGAAGGTCCTGCATATCGAGAGTTGCTAATTCTGATTCTGAGAATAACTACATCTTTCCCTTTCCATCTAGGTGGAAGAGGTGTTTAAGGCCTCACCTTTCCTAGTTGGGGAGGACTGTGTATCCATCATGAATGGAACAGATGAAGGTAGAGTTGCCCAAAGGATGCCCCCTGTGAATGGCTTTCAAGTGTTTCTGCCAAGAATTCAGTTGGTGAGGCTCTTCCCTGGTTAAACAAGTCAGTTCCAACTTATAGCGACCTCTCCTTGGGTTTCCAAGGCAGTATCTCTATGGAAGTAGATTGCCCAGACTTCCTTCCAAGGGGTGGCTGGTGGGTGTGAGCTGCCAGCCTTCTCGTTAGCAGTCAAATGCCTTAGGAACTGTCCATTGCAACTCACAGCTTAAATGTCCCAGAGGGTCTTTTTGGTGCCAGTGTTAGAGACAGATGTTCATCTTTACCAACCTGAACCTAGCACAGGTGAAGTTTCTGAAAACAAATCACCTTTTCAGTTTTAAGAACATTTAGAGAAAATCCCCAGTTGCACAGTTAGAATATTATTGCTGTTGTAATTCTAAAAGAGGCACTTTAGTTTCTCATTGACCCCTGATTTTAAATATGACCCTAAGAGTTTATTTGTATAGGGAGAGCAAGGGGGGCATTGGATCTTTTCCTATCTCTTCCAGAAAGAGGAAACTTGTGACAGAGAACAGGGGTGTGTGTGGCATTGAGTTTGTTTTTTGTTGTTATGTGCCGTCAAGTTGGACCTGACTCATAGCGACCCCTCCTTGAGTTTCCAAGGCAGTATCACTATGGAAATAGATTTCTCACCCTTCCTTCCGAGGAGTGGCTGGTGGATTTGAACCGCCAGCCTTCTGGTTAGCAGTTAAGTACCTTAGGCACTATGCTACAAGAGCTCCCATGACATTGAGCAGGGTAGTCTAATTTTTTAGTATGGTGTCTTCTAGCTGCAAGATTTGTCTGTGGATGAAACAGACTTCAGTAAGGGGTCTGTAAGGGTCACTTTGTTCTTTGCTCCTATACTCTATAAGTAGGCAGGCATCTGAGGGCCCCAGGTGCACCATGCAGCACCTCCATGATTCACCTTTCTGTGATCTTTCTCTTGTAGGTGTCTCTGCCTGGATCACGGTCAACTTCCTGACAGGTATGTGTATCCAACTCACTGTGAGGTTGGTTGTTCTCAGATATCTGTCCGTGTGACTCATAGCAAGGCTTTCTAGGCCTCACTCCTCCCTGTTAAATAATGTCTGGGATCTCAGCTAGAGCTGGGCTTAGGAGAGGAGATGCTGCAGTTTGGGACAGCCCCTCATAATACTTGTCCCTTCTTCTGCAGCAGTACCTGTTGGGAGCCTAGGCCCTGAGAGAAGTAACAGTAAAACAAGTCATGCGTCTGCATAATCAGATTTGTCTGCTGTAGGTAGAACAAGAACAAAGACACCTGTTCTTAGAACAGGCAGTGGGAGCAATTGTTCTTAGATCATTCTCAGTTCCCGTGGTTTTATGTCCCCTTACTTTCCTTCATAAAAGAACAGTGTGTCTGAGGCATGTATGATGGAGAGCTGATCACCACCCACCAGGTGCTATAGAAATGTCAGAGATCAGTATCTCTGAGAGCACATCAGTGTTTTTCTTCCCAGTAGAGACTTCAGGTCTGCTGCCTCTCCTGACAGTCAGTGTTGTCCTGACATCATCCAGGCTACAGCTACTGGAAGCATAGTTGTGGTACATGCCTTAACACTCAGCATATCTCTAAGGGAACTCAATAGCAGCAGCTGCATCTTGTTTCACTACCTACTGAAGGCTGGGCCTGTAACTCCATGCTGTTTAACCTTTCTACTGTCCATATCCACTCATTAACACAGCAGTTGCTTTTTGCTCACCCATGCTCCAGGCACTTTGAAAACCCCCGGAAGGAGCAGTGTGGGCATGCTGGACTTGGGAGGAGGATCCACACAGATTACCTTCCTGCCAAGCATTGAGGTAACTGACTCATGAGGCCCCACAAGGGAGGCAGGCAGGACTCATTGAGGCACACAGGCTGTGTGGCCACTACTTTTGGGATGGCAGGAGCCCAGGCACCAGGTCAAGTCACTGTGCTTCTCTGAGCTTAGGGCCAGGTGCATTCCCAGTTTATGCTTTTTACTTTGGGTCTAACTCTCCCTGGAAAAATGCATAGAAATTGTGAAGAGGAACTGTGCACTTACACCCATTTGACAGATAGGGGATAAATTAGATAAAATTGGAACCTTTGGGACAAGTGAGAAGTGAAGCACCTCCTTCCCTGCTGTACTCCAGTGCAGGATGAGGAGACTTGGTTTTGTCTGTCTGCTGCAGAGAGCTTCCCACTTCCTCACCACAAAGGCTCTGAAGAAGAAGCTTCCAATTGAAACTACCTGGTGTTTTCAAAGTGCTCTTCTCCTCTCCCATTTTATCACTGGTTTTCAGTGCAGTTCCTGGTGTACCCTCAACTCACTAGGATGGGAAAGTTACACATAAGGTGGCTTCCTGGGGCTAGATCATGCCTTGAGGTGCTGGGGCAGGAGAAAGACCAGATGAGCAGAAGGGAGATGGAGGGGATGGTGGTGAAGGTAGTAGTATCCAGACCCAGCATCTTCCTAAGTGGAGCTGTCAAGGCCAAGAGACCCACCTCCCCACTACCTGGGCACCATCTTTGGGCTGGCTAGAGCTCATCACGGACACTGTTAGTGATAGTGCTTTTTCATTTTGGAAGTTTAGTTTTTACTGATTGTTCCAAGCTTATCACAGCATATGACTTCATGAAAAGCTAACCTAGTTGAATATATCTGTGAATACCCTGTTCTTTTAAGTGAATTGAGAGAGTGTGGGGACCATTTTCTAGAGAGAACAGCAGGAAGCACAGTGACCCTCCTGTGTTCCCCAGGGCACCCTGCAGACCTCTCCAGCTGGCTACATCACATCACTGCAGATGTTTAACAAGACCTACCAGCTGTACTCCTACAGGTCTGTTTTGGGGACCAAACGATAGGGAATATCCAACACAATGCTCAGCAAACACTGCTAGAACTGCCCCCCACCCACCGTGCACCTCAATGGAGAGAGGGACTCAGTCACAGATATGCATTCAGAGTTCTCTCAGCTGCAGATCTCACCAAGTTTTTTTTTTTTTTTTTTGCCCCTCCTTCCTCTTCTCTCTCCTTCTTTTCTTCCATTTTTCCCTTCCCTCCTCCCCATCTCCTCTTTCCCTCCTGCCTCCTCTTCTCCTTTCTCCCTGTTCTTCTTTCTCTACCCTCCTCCCCTTTCCAAGTCCTTCTTCCCTCTTTTTCCTTATCCTCCCTCCTCCCTTCCCCTTGTTCCTCTTTCTTCCTCCCTCCTTCTCCTTCTCCCTTACCCTCCCCTGCCATTTCCTTTCTCATCCTTCCTCCTCTACCTTCATTCTTCTTCATTTTTAGATTTACCTACAGTTAACACTTAATTTCTTGTTTTATCCTTATTCTGTTTTGCTTTGGAATAGCAGGAGGGGCCCATGCACTAGGCAGAGATGTTTCTAGACCATCTGTTTTACACATGGCACCTTACTTACTTAAAGTCTTTTTGTACAGTTGCAAGCCCCATGAAGAAGGGACCATGTTTGTCTTACTTACCATGGTGTCCCAGCTGCTAGCTTACCTGTTGCCCCATTATAGGCCACCGTCTAGTGAATTAATTAGTTGAATTCCCTCAACTCTACAAAGATAGGCTTCTAGAAGAAGCAGGAAAGCCTGCCAACTACCTTGTCACAAGCATTCTACCTTTCCCACTCACTCTGGACCCAGGCCAGGTAAATTATTGAAGCAGTGGTCATGATAGTACCCAGTGTATGTAGTGCACACCCTTCCCTCACAGTGCTTTATTCCCACAGCTACCTGGGGCTTGGACTGATGTCAGCCCGACTCGCAGTCTTGGGTGGTGTGGAAGGCCAACCTGGTGAGTGGGACATATGTGAGGCTGTGCTCATGACCTTAGCTTCCACTTTCAGCAGGAGAGTGAGCCCCGTCCTGTCCTGTTCTGCCTACCTCCTCAACCTCTTCTGCCGCCCCTGCAGCGTGTTGGGCACAGCCGAAATATGGAGCAGACTGCTGACCCTTAGGGCCAGGTTAGGGACCATGGACTAGACAGGGACTCTTCTTCTGCCTTTTCTAAATTGGACTTGTTTTCCATGGGTACATTCTAAGTCATTTTTAGAAAGAGAGAACTGTTAGTGGGGTCATTTCTGAAACACTGCACTGGAGGATTTTAGGAGCTCAAGTAACAGTGTACAGGAGCCAACTCTACTTGGAGTTGACTTGTGTTGGAACATTTGAAGAAATTACCTTGTTCTTCATGACAGTACAGGAGTCCTAAGAGGACTTTCTGTCATCAACTCTTGCTGTATGAAGGAGTGTACAGAGCCCCTCCCTTCCTTTATTTGGGGTAGAGCAGCATCTGGTCAAGTTGTTACAAAGGTAGTTTGACCCCAGGATTCCCTCCTTTAAGCTCCTCTGGCTGACTTCACTGAGAAGAAGCTCCTCTTAGTTAAGCCCACCATTGGCCTTCATAGAAGGTGTTACTTCTAGAATTTCCCAAAGATGCTGGGCCCTGTTCTTCTGGAGGGCAGTGCTTTGAGGCTAGCACTAGACTTTCCTAACTGCCTTAACTGAGCATCTCTTCTCCACATGAGTTGTATATGGGGCTCACTACCCAGATCCATGCTCACTCTTCAGGCCTCAGATATCCTACTCTCTGTTTACTGCCTGCCTTTATATACTTTCCTCTGTGGCCCAGCACCTCTACTCTCGCCAGGGCCTTGTCCTTCCAGCAGGCTTGGAATTGTCATGCTGGAATTTTGGGTTTTCCATTCACATCCTGTTTGAGTTTACGTCTTTCAAATTGGGTGTACTTTGTTGTGAACCAAATATATGTCCAATTCTCAGAATCACCTGCAACCCTTATTTTGGGGCCAAGAACTCCCATCACTTAGCCAAAGTGGTCAAGTCAACTGGCCCAGGACACTCCTTCTCCCAGAGCAGCAGAGGGCTCACTGATTTGTCAGACCACGCCTAATACCAGCTACAGGGCTATAAACCACTCCCTGCCCAAGAGGACAAGTTTCTCTATTTGCTATCTGATGTTGCATAGCAGATCATCCCAAACTTCATAGTTTAAACTGTAAATATCACTCACTTTATGGCCTTTGATTCCCAAATTCTGCTGGGTGCCTCTGCTGCCTCAAGCCCTGTAGCTTTGGTCAGGAAGCTGACACCAATACCTGATGCCTTAGTGCTCCTCCACAGGCATCTCATCCCTGTTCAATGCAGGACACAAAAGAATGTTTGCTTTTTAGACTTCAGATGCCTTCACTCTGACCTTGCAGTCCTTTGAACCCCCAGTGCCCACCTCACGGGTCTATACATTCCTGATCATGTGCCCCTGTCCTCTTATTGTCACATTCCTTTTTTCCAATCCCTTTATATTAGCTAGGGATGGAAAGGAGCTATTCAGCCCTTGTCAGCACCCTGGCTTCAAAGGAGAATGGGAGCACGCTGAAGTCACATACAGAATTTCAGGAGAGAAGGCAGGTAGGTGGATTGTTCACAGTGTTTATAAGGATGAGGGTAAAGCCTACACTCCAGAACTTGGCCCAAGTGCCTGGGAGAAGGGGCCATTATTGCCAGGTCTTTCAAACAAGCCAGGTACCCAATGAGATGAGGGTGGACCTGGTCCTCATCAGGGCTCCAGGCCTTGGCAAGAGCACTGGGAGCCACTCCACAGGGTCCCCTTGTCTGTCACCAAGCACTTTTTTTCACGAAGGTTGAGTTTCCTAACACATCTCTAGTGAGGAAAGACCAAATGTCCTATGCTGTGAGGCAAATAGCCACATCTCAGCTACTGGCTCAGGAGGCCACTGAGGAGGCTAACTTATGAACAGAGGGAGAGATCTGGGTTCCCTCCTTTAACACAGATTCTGTCTCCCTTGTACTGCCTGGTGGCAAGGCCTTACCGGGCCCACCTCTCACCCTGGTCATCTTGGGTGCCCTGTGCCCATTTGTCTGTTTCTGGAGGAAATACTGAAGTGTTGTGCCTGAACTGCATGAACTACATTGGCAGGTATGAGGTGTGTCCACCTTGTCTGTAGCCCTAATTGTCATGAGTGGAGGGTGTAGGTATGTTTCATGCATTGGGCAGGCAAGAGTGGATGATGCCGAGAGCTCCCACATGGAGCTGACATTGCAATGGAAGGAATTGGACAGGAAAACTGTAGAAAAGTTTTGAAAAAAAATAAAACAGGGAAAAAGGAAGAGAGGGGGAAGACAGTTGAAGAATGCCTTATATGGTGATATTTGAGCCACGAGGTGACAGGGTAGGAAGTGAGCCTCAGGGAATGAGCAATTCTAGAATAGCAGTGCTGGCAGGGGGAAGGCACATGCAAAGGCTCTGGAGGATCTACTGTGTTTAAAGAACCAGAAGAAGCCAGTGTGACTAGCCTGACAGGAAGAGTGGAAGGAAATGAGTTGGAAGGTCAGGGGCATGGCTCAGCACCACTGGGGAGAAATGGGAAGCAACCCCTGCGCAGATGTGGAGGGTGGAGACCAGGCTGGTGCATGGTGAGAGTGGAAGCAGAGGGAAGTGACAGATGCTGAATATGACCTGATCATGGGTGTGAATTGTGAAGAATGGACCACCATAAGGCTACATGGAGAGACTGGGTAAGGCAGACTTGAGGAGAAGGTTGGAGAGTATTGAGTAGAGATGAGTGAAGGTGCTGTCTGATGTCCAGAGCAGTCCCTTAGCCTCAGGGTCTATGTTGTTGATTGATTCCTCCTTCCAATCCAACATTAGCGAAGATCCATGTGAATGCTGCATGTTGCCAGTTAGGCTTTAGTTTTCTTATCTATGTAACAAGGAGAATGCAGATCTCACCTTCCAGGTGGAATGAAGATCAAGTAGGACATGCTCATTCTTGCTCAGCCCAAGCTTGGTGGGTTGGGGGCCAGCTAAAGTGCTCAGTATATGCTTCAAGTCCATTGGGCTGGTTGAGGTAGGGTGGTGCCCCAGACTTGGTCCCACTGTTGTCCTATTGTGTGTGTGCAGAGACAGTGAGCAGAGCCTGGCTGGATCCCACTCCACTCTGCCTACCCAAGTCTGTATCCTGAGTGCCTGGGCTGGGCCACAGATTAAGGACCACCTGACCCTGGGTTTGTACTTGTCCTCTGCAGCAGCCAACTCCCATGAGCTGTGTGCCAACAGAGTGTCAGAAATCCTTAGAAGCAAAGTGCACAGAACAGAGGAAGTGAAGCACATGGATTTCTATGCCTTCTCCTACTATTATGACCTTGCTGCACAAGTCGGCCTTATTGGTAAGGACAGTGACTGGTTGCAGACAGGAGGGACCTGTGGGCACTCTGGGATGTGGGCCTTTCCTGGGCAGTGCCTGAGGCATGTGATTGATTACAGTCCTGCCACCCTTTGAAGTCATCAATATCAAATTAGCAACAAGACCATGGAAAGGGGTCTTGTCTAAATGAAGCATAATCAGCACACTTTTTATACATAGATTAACTCTCTAAGGCAGGTTATGATCTTGGAGCCCATGCATCAGCACAGGCTACGTAATGGTCTAGAATATTCCACAGTTCATGCTGTGGTCATGCACCTGCTCGGGAAGCTGCTTCATGTCAGTGCACCTTGCCTGCCCAGGACCCCCTGTTCCCAGACCAAAATGTTCTGGGCTGGCATGGGAAGGGCTCCAGGAGTTCATTCTGGTTCATTGTCCACACCCAATGAGGTGAATTATGGGTAGGAAAAGATACTTAGTGTGCTTAGGCTGATGTTTCTCAAAGTATGAGCGAAAACTCTTGAGAGGCTTGTGGAATCAATTTAGTGGCTATGACCAGGATTTTTTTAGTGAAGTAAATAGGAAACATCAGGGTTGTTGTTGTTGGGTACTGTTGAGTCAGTTTCCACTCAGACCTCATGTGACATTAGAACTGCCCCATAGCATTTTCTTGGCTTTAATCTTATGGAAGCAGATTGCCAGGCCTTTCTCTCATGAAATATCTGAGTGGGTTTGAATCATCAGCTTTTCAGTAAAAGTTATTAATGTTTTAAGTAAAAAGCCTCCCAGAAGGAGCCTCTCACACAGGAGTAAGTGCAGCCCTGGACCCACCTCCACTTCTCATGGACATGGAAGTTTGGATTGTGTCTGAGGACCCAGTCATAGTCCCTGAGAGCCAAGCCCTCTCCCCACCCTTCTCTCAGGGGTGGCAAATGCCTAGCAGCACTTCCTTCCTTCTCCAGTGGATCTGCCATGCAGAGTGACTTAGGATCCACTCTAAGAAAGCCTCACTACACCAATACACCAAAGCTGGAAACAGTCCAAGGGACTAGTGGACCATATGAACCTCAGAGTATATGACCATGAGACAGAAGAACTAGATGGTGAACTAGACATCTACCACTGTCAACCACTTGGAAGGGGATTGGTGCAGGAGATTCTGGATAGAGTAGGAGAACAATGTGGAACAAAACTCAAAATCATTTTAAAAAAAAATAAAACAGATTTTTTGGTCTGACAGAGTCTGGTGAGACCCCTGAGACTATGGCCCCTAGTTATCCTTCATATCTGGAAGTGAACTCACTCCTATGGCTTCCAGCCAAACAATAGCCAGGCATACGGGTTGACCATACATCAGGTGTATCCACTCCTCGGAATGATCAATCATGGGAGAACAGAAGGGCAGTATTTGCACAGGGTAATAGCTCAGGGGGCAGGAATGCATAGCAAAGAAGGACACAGGGAAGAGGTAACTACAGGGAGGAAGTGAGAAGAGAGCTGCTACATTGTGGGGAATTGCAGTCAATGTCATTAAACAAAATGTGTCTGAACTTCTATATGGAAAATGAATTTGCTCTGTAAACTTTCAACCAAATCACAATAAAAATTAAGAATAAACTTAAAAAAAAAAAAAAAAGAAAAAAGAAAAGACACCATAGCTAAGGTGAGGACAAAGTGAAAGATGATCCCTTATCCTCAGCCCAATCCGCACAAGAAAAGAAGGGGTCCTCTGGCAGCCTGAGGGACTCTACTGGTCCCCTCCCAGAGCCCAGGAGTACTCTTGGGACTGCTGCCCAAAGCCTACCACACAGCCTGTGGGTAACCTGCCCTCTACCTGGCTGGCTCTACCCTGCAACCTCAGTCAATGTAGGCCCTCACCCAATTGCAGTCTGCCCCCAGGAGACTTGGCATCTTCTGAGGTCCCATAAGATTGAGGCACAGCTCAGAGATGGCAGCATGGGTCAGAGGTGCCACATTGTTCAGCATGGCTTGCCCCTTGGCTCTGTGCACACTCAGGTGTTGTCCACCGCTGCCATGCTCCTGTCACATCTATGTTTCTTCTGCATTACTGATCACACCTGTGCTGGGGGAAGGCTGGGTCTGTGTCCAGAAATTACATCCCTCTAAGGCACTCCTTGGAAGGAAGACTGGGCAATCTACTTCCCATAGTGATATGGCCTCGGCAACCCAAGGAGGGGTCTCTATGAGTCGGGGCCGACTCAATGGCACATAACAACAACAACAATGTCAACAGTAAGGAGCTATGGTGGCACAGTGCCTTAAGGCATTTACTGCTAACCAGAAGGTTGGAGGTTCAAGCCCACCAGCCACTCCGCGGAAGGAAGATGGGGCAATCGATTTCTGTAAAGATCTACCACCTTGAACTCAATGAGGGTCGCTGTGAGTCAGAATCAACTCAATGGCAGTGAGTTTGGGGGATTTTTGGGGTTTTTTTGTTGTTGTTGTTGTTTTTGGCTGGGGGGAGGAGATGGGGAATGGCAACATTTTCTAACTTTACAAATGTCCACAGTGAAGGAAGAATCAGAGGAGATTCTTCTTCCCCAACACTATGAGCAGCCTCTCACACAGGAATAAGTGCAGCCCTGGACCCTCCTCTCCCTCTCTGGGAGTTGGAAGTTTGGATTGTGTCTGAGGACTCAGTCATAGTCCCTGAGAGCCAAGCTCTCTCCCTACCCTTCTCCCAGGGGTGTCAAATGCCTGGAGCTCTGGTAGCATAGTGCCTAAGGTACTTGACTGCTAACCAGAAGGCTGGCGGTTCAAACCCACCAGCCACTCCTCAGAAGGAAGGTTAGGCTATCTACTTCCGTAGTGATACTGCCTCAGAAACCCAAGGAAGGGTCGCTATGAGTTGGGTCCTACTCAACAGCACATAACAACAACAACAACACTTGCTTCTGCAGAGCTCTGCAAAGGTGCTGCCCAATTTTCTCAAGGACATTTCTGAGACCTGTTTTTTCTTTACAAAACTTTTTTTTTTTTTTTTTTCCCTTAAGGCTTGATAAATTGATACCAGAATACAGTTGCTGAATTCAGTACCATGGCTTCAGAAAGTATTTTCAATTCCATAGTTTTGCTTCTCTTAACTTGAAATTAAGTAGTTTTCTCAAGCTGTGTGGCCAGGGGACTCTGGCAAGCTTCTTCTAGGAGGATGTTACAGGACTGGAGGTGTGGTGACCCTAAAGGCCTTGATTGGGCTCTCTGCCGGGCCACCCCACACCCTACCACCTCACAGACTTCTGTCAATGAACAAGGTACCCACCACCTCTTAGAATAGCATGCTTTACAGCAGGATGCCTCACAGCTTGACCTCAGCAAAACAAAACCCCACTGTGTCCCAGAGTGCCAGGAAAGCACTCTATAGCCCTGGAACCCCTGGCCCAGCTTTCCCACCCTGTGTCAGTGCCTTGGCTGCTTCAAGGGGCTTCTGTGCCCCTAAAGTGAATCAGGTGTCTATTCCTTGTCCCACAGATGCTGAAACAGGAGGCAGCTTGGTGGTTGGAGACTTTGAGAATGCAGCTAAGTATGGTGAGTGACTATTGCACCTCCCTGGGCCAGCAAAGACCCAGATGGGAAGGACTAGGGGACAGCCACCAGTGGGACTAGCCCTAGCATGAGGCAGATGCTCACAGTGTTGGAGATGTGCCCCAGCCTCAAAACTCTTGGATTTTCTTCCTGATTCTGTCACCAGACCAGCACTAAGAGGGCGTGGGATGTTCAGCCTACATTCAGAGAGACCTGTGCCCAGGGCCCCAGTGTTGTTCATTTTGGAAGGGCTATAATTCCAGTCTCTCCTTTGTCTGTGAGGAACAAATTCCCTCAGTTTCATTCTTTCTGATGCCTGAACCACTGCCACATGATTATCCCAGTAAATTCATGACTGTCCCTGAACCTGAAGAAGTCAGGAAACCTTACACAGCCAGCCCAGCATGCGAGGGTTCAGAGCTGTGCCCTGCAGTGGTGCCAGGGAAGAACCAGTGCCCACCTCCCTCTTGCTCACCTTCCCCTCTTTCACCCATTTCCTTGTTTATGTCCCACTCACCGCCCCCCATCCCTGCCCCAGCTGCCAGAGTGTAAAAGCAAAGTCTTCTTTTCCAAAACACTCATTATTTACCCCAGCTCACAATCACACACACACTCCTCATTATCTTGTTATCTGATGTTTTACATTATGACAAGAGTGCAAAATCTATTATCCAACTCTTTTGCCTATTAATGACACACATCTGCGAGTAATGAACACTGAGGTATGAGGTAAGAGTAACTCTGACTGTGATGGTTGAGATTATGTGTCAACTTGGCTGGTCCATGATTCTCATTTTCTGATCTGATGTGATCATCTTCCATTTTTTTTGCATAATGCTGGTTTTTGCATAATGACCTGGTCTTTGGAACCAAACCACGTTGATAAGTGAAGAGTAGATGAGGTCTGCTCTTCTGGTTGTCAGTTTGCAGACTTAACTTTGTATGTTTCTCCATATAAAGTTCCTGCTCCAAAAAGTGGCTTTTTTTCTTTCACTTTTAATTTAGAGTTTGTCTCCATGAGTAGGGTATCTGTGACCCTCCTCCAGGGAACAGATGCTGAGAGGAACTCCGGGCAGACTGGAGTAAAAAAATCAAAGTGGGCTCTCTGAGCCAACCTCAATGTCTGTCTCCTTTATCGTGCATGGCATGCAGGTCTTGTGCAGAGGCAACCTGAGGAAGAGACTGCAGAATTTGCCGCTGACCTTCCTCTCAGGGTATACCTAGCAGACCATATCCCCACCTCAAGCTACAGTCTTTTTATCTCTTAATCATGCTAGATACCCTCAGAGTTGATGGGATTGTCAGAACTCTTCACCCCATCCCCAAGAGTGAATCACCTGAATACTGATTGGGACCTCTCCACACTCATCTTTGTTCCCATCTTTCCCCCCAGTGTGTAGTACAGTAGAAACCCACACACAGAGTAGCCCTTTTGTGTGCATGGACCTAACCTACATCAGCTTGCTACTACAAGAACTCGGATTTCCAAGGAACAAAGTGCTCAAGGTAAAGCCCCCTACCCCCATCCCATCCCTGGGGATGTCCCTGGGAAACATTGCCCCATGGGAGGTTGCAATTTCCCTGATACTGCCATCCCCTCTGAGAGAGAAGCCTAAGAAGCAGCTGCCCTGTATGGGATGCAGTTACCCTGACCCTTATCCCTTACCCACCCAAGGAGAGTATCTAGAAAGCCCTTGGGTGTGGTTCCCCTGACTCTCCTCTCACCCCTACCCCTCCATTCCTCCCAGGTGCCTGGGAAGCACTGCCCATGGTGGGGGGTGCAGTTCCCCTGACCCCTACTCCTATCCCTGCTGGATGAGGTACCTGTCAAGCACTGCTCCATAGGGAGTGTGCCTCCCCTCACTCCTCCCTGGTCTCCACAACAAGTATGGCCCTTCCTGACCTCCCTTTGTCTCTTCAAGCTGACACGAAAAATTGATGATGTTGAAACCAGCTGGGCTCTGGGGGCCATTTTTCACTACATCGACTCCCTGAGCAGACCCAAGGGTCCCACCAATGATTAGCAGCCCTGCTCCTGGCTATGAGCCACCCCACCTTGCCTGTCAGCGCTCAGATTTACCTGACCTCCTCACAGCTGCCATCTCCGTGAGAGCAGGACACCTTTGTGGAACCTCATCCCATGCCCTCAGCTGCTCAGCCCCTGACCACTGTGACTTTGTCCTTGGTTTCATTGTAGGCATATTGGAGGAGGAACCATGATGAGGGCTGCAATCCAGCCCACCTCCCCACAAGACCTGGGCAGGGTAGAAAGTGTCCAACCCTAGCACCTCACTCTCCTGCATTGGCTTTGGGTGGGCCATGGCCACGTGTGAAGCCATTGAGATACAGCACTAGCCTGGCAAGGTGGCAGGCAGCCACACTCCACCCTTTGTAGCCATGCCATGCAGGAGTATTGTTTTTGCTATCTGCCACCTCTCTGGCTTCCTTTCCAGGGGTAGACCTCGACCTTCTAGGGTAGAGGGAAAGCAGAATTTGGCCTAAAAGCATTGAGCCCTTGAGCTTTCAAATGTTAACCTCTTCCTTGGATGTGGACAAGGGAAATTATCCAGAAGTCTGGCTGTGTCAATGTGTGGTTAACTAAATAGCTGCCACTCTGAATCAAGGGGGAAAGAAGCTGGAGTGAACAGGCCCTCCTTACCCTGTGTTCCCTGCTCTCATGCAAGATGATAGCTGAGTTAATGCTATGAAACTTCTGTGAGTTAGTGCTGTTCTGCCTCCCAGCCCCCCAGGTGCTGGGAGGCTCCTAGAGCTGGGTTCACTGCCTCCATGTCCCTATGAATGTGTAGCTCCTGTGAGCCATGTGTGCAGCCAAGATAGGCAGGGTCAGAATCCTAGGACCCAAGACTCTCATTGCAGACCCTGGCCTACGCTCTCACTGCCTGGGAACTGGGGCCTGGGTCACTGTCTGCCCTCTGCACTCACCTACCCTCCTCTCCCCTTTGGCCTGGCACAGAGAGACTTCATCCCTTCGTTGTACTCAACTGTGGCTTGGGTCCTTACTGCCATGTCCACATCACTCATGTAATGAATGAATGGTACATGGAATAAACTGAACCTTGTATGTTCCACCTCAAATAAAAAGTTTACAAAGATTTCTCTCCTAGAAGTCCTCTCGGCATGAAAACAGCACTGGCCAGTACACCAGCACTGCAATGATGCACAAACACCTAAGCACATTTAAAGCTGGGGGAAAATGCCTAAGTGGGATACAGGGATCACTGTGTATCTAAGTGTTATCAGGGTACCTCATGAGGAGATAAGCAGAGGCCAGGGAGAGGCCGAGCCAGGCAGCCCTGCTAGTGTCTGGCTGGAGAGGGAGGGTCCTTTGGGCCACAGGCTGTGGGACCTGGGCTCTGGCAGGAAGCCCAGGTAGGTAGTGATACACAGAGACCTCACACAGAACCCCACCTCCTGCAGAGAGCAGATGCACGCAGCAGGGGCTGAGTTAAGGCTTTGGGCAGGTGGCTCCCCTCCCTACACCTTGGTTTTCTCCAACCAGAAAAGCCCAATGGATCTGGAACAGTCCAGACCCTTCTGGACATGTGCCATGAGGGAGCTATGGGCCTATCCCTGCATCCTGAGTGTGCTGTGCAGCACTTATACCCTAGCCTGAAGCTTTGACTGAGGGCACAACATCCCAGGGTCACTGTGGACCAAGTGAGCAGGAAGAAGGTCATGTGGAAAAGAAGTTAAAAGTAAGAAAGTGATGTTACTTTCCACCTCCCAGAATCATTTCACAGTGGGTAGAGTAGTAGAAACATTTTCCTGGTGTTTGAATAGCTCTGTGCCTGCAGGAAAAAGGGGAAGAAAGGGCCTTCTATTCCAGAGTGTGGTTGGTGCCACCCCAACTCCAGAAGGTTGGAGAAGATCTCCTAGAACTGCCAAATAAAAATTGGAAGCCAGCTGCCCACTGGGGAAGGAAGTCCTGAGGACTGTGAGAAGATAAGCAGGCACTGACAAACTAGAAGATGCTTTTCCCAGATAACAAGAAAGTTGTATAAGGACTAAAACTTTTGATTGACCAGGGCATGGAAAAAAGAAAAACCTATCTTCTCCACCCACACTGAACCACCCCTGCCTTGACAGGGCTCCCTTCCAGCCCTTCCTTGCATAATACACAACAGATTAAATATTTAAATAACTCTACAGGAAATTAAATTAAAAAATGCATTAAGGTAAAAGCAAACATTGATTTGATCCATTTAAAGGAAGTTAATGATCTCACATCTGGGGGAAGAAAATGTGTAAATAATTGGAAGTTTCCCAAGAGATCACCAAATACATCATGGGATATTTTTGGACCCAGCAAAATACGCAAGTCATTTCACTCTGATAATAAAAGTGGTCTCTCATCTTTCAAAAATAGCTGCACATGAACATTGTGGGGCATTGTAAAAGATACAGACTGGGGACAACATGAACTGTGCAACCTGGAGGCCACTGACATCTGTGCTCACAAGGGTCTTCCTTTCACTTTCTGATGAGTGTGGCCACTTCATGCACCAGGCCACTGTCCACACATGCAGCACTTCTGTTTTCACTTAATTAGCAGCACAGAGACCCCCATCAGTACACAGAGTTGCTTCCACCCCATAATGGCCTCCAGGGTTTCGTTGTCTGAAGGTTGGGACCTTAGTTTCATTGGCCTGTGTGTGGCATATTGCCTATGGCATTTGACTGCTAACCAGAACGCTGGCGGTTCAAACCCATCATCCACTCCTTGGAAGGAAGACTGGGTGATCTACTTCTGTAGGGAAACCACCTTGGAAACCCAAGGAGGGGTTGCTGTGAGTCAGATTCAACTCGATGGCAGTGAGTTTTGTATGTCATGAAGTGGTGTCCAGTCTCACACTGATGCACCTGTGCCCTCAACGCTGCTGCACTAAAGGGCATGGTCATTTTACATTTTGATGGATGTTGCCAGATTTCCATTCAGAAAGGTATCACTTTACAATTCCTCCAGCGAGCCCCATTGCTTGATGTCCCCTGTGACTATGGTCCCAAGCCCACAGGTCCAACTGCTCAGTCCCTCTGGGTAGCTGGGCTGTGGCCAAGAAGTGACTACACCTTGTTCCTTGTCAGCTCTACTATGTACCTGGGAATTCTTACAGAACATAGCAATACACTTGTAGAAACATTGTCTGCCAATCCTATACATGCTCTTGGGCACACTCCTTCCTGCATGTTGTTGTTGTTGTTATGTGCCATCGAGTTGGCCCCGACTCATAGCAACCCCTCCTTGGGTTTCCAAGGCAGTATCCTACAGAAGTAGATTGCCCAACCTTCTTTCTGAGGAGTGGATGGTGGGTTTGAATGGCCAGCCTTCTGGTTAGCAGTCAAGTGCCTTAGGCACTGTGCTACCAGAGCTCCTCCTCCCTGCATAGACATACCTAATAGTTCAGACTGTGCACCCATCTATCCACCCACATATCCATGTTTGCCTTCACTGTCAGTGCAGTACTTTATGTGCAAAAGGGTTAATCTTTATTGTCAATACCTCCTATGTACGTCTCTCTGTCTTCCTCTTCTTCAATGACACCATGTCGATCTCTCATATTTGGTACATTGACCTTCTCTTCACCCAAATCAATACTTGTATCTACCTATCTAACAGTGTTTCCTTCTCTTCCCTCTCACCCCTGGTAACCAATAAAGAAATTTCCTTCCATATATAAACCTTTCCTTAACTTTTTACAATAACGGACTAACACAATATTTGTCCTTCTGTGACTGACTTATTTCACTCAGCATAATGTCCTCCAAGTTCAAAGGATATAGTGTATTCATAGCTTTTTATATTACTTAAAGAGCTCTAAGCCCATGCTTTTGAGTACCCTCCAGAGCACTAATCATAGTTTCAGAATGGTTTTGGGTTTTAAGACCATTCAGAGGTCATTGAAAGGCATGTGTAATAATCAAATTGGGGTTATGCCATCTTTGGTTAAAGTTAACGGTGCTTATAATGTTTTTGGGCATTCTGGTGGCGTAGGGCCTATGGCATTTGACTGTTATCCAGATGGCTGGTGGTTCAAATCCACAAGCCACTCCTCAGAAGGAAGGTTGGGCAATCTATTTCCATAGTGATACCACCTCAGAAACCCAAGTAGGGGTCACTATGAATCGGATGCAACTCGATGACAGTGAGTTTGGGTTTTTGGTTTATAATGTTTTTATTTATTTATTTAAGCTGTTTATTGTGATTTGGGTGAATGTTTACAGAGCAAATTTGTTTTCCGTTCAACAGTTCATATGCATTTTGTTTTGTGACACTGATTGCAATCCCCACGATGTAATAGTTCTCTTCCCACTTCCTTCCTGTGTTTACCTTTTCCCTGTGGCCTTTTCTTTGCATTCCTGCCTTCTGAACTTTCTCCCTGCACAAATGCTTCTTTTCTGATCTCCCAAGGTTTATCTAAGGAGTGCAACTCCCTAGTGTAATTTGTCACCTCATAGGCCTGTCTGTTATTTGGCTGAATGTTAAGCACTGTAGTGAGCTCAGTTCCAGGACCAAAGGGTGACTAGGGATTACAGTCTCATGGGTTTCACTACTATCTATCAGACCAGTGAGCCTGGACTTTATGATTTTGAATTTTGTTCCACATTTTTTCTCCCACTGTGTCCAGGATCTCTGATTTTGGTCTCTTTCCAAGTGGTTGTCAGTGGTAGCCAAGCACCATCTACTTCTTCTGGTCTCAGGGCTGTATAAGCTGAGGTACCTCTGGACTAATTGTTTCCATGAATCTTTGATTTCCTTCACCCTTCTTTGCTCTGGATGAGGAGACATCAACAGTTGTATCTTAGATGACTGCTCGCAATATTTTGAGACCCTGGTTGTTCCTCACCAAAGCAGGATGTAGAACAATGTTTTTGTGTAGTATGTTATACCAGTTGAGCTTGATGTTCCTGCAACCGTGGCCCTGAGCACAGGTGGCTATAATGTAATAAGGCAATTCCAAAAAGGAACTTCCAGAAGCCTATGGAATCACAGCAGTGTCAGTAATAT